GTAAACATTACATTCAGCTATTGTACGAACAGTAAACATTACATTCAGCTACTGTAAGAACAGTGAACATTACATTCAGCTATTGTAAGAACAGTAAACGTTACATACAGCTATTGTAAAAACCAGTAAACATTACATTCAGCTATTGTAAGAACAGTGAACATTCCATTCAGCTACTGTAAAAGAACAGTGAACATTACATTCAGCTACTGTAAGAACAGTAAACATTACATTCAGCTACTGTAAGAACAGTAAACGTTACATTCAGCTATTGTAAAAACAGTGAACATTACATTCAGCTATTGTAAGAACAGTGAACATTACATTCAGCTATTGTAAGAACAGTAAACGTTACATTCAGCTATTGTACGAACAGTAAACATTACATTCAGCTATTGTAAGAACAGTAAACGTTACATTCAGCTATTGTAAGAACAGTAAACGTTACATACAGCTATTGTAAAAACAGTAAACATTACATTCAGCTATTGTAAGAACAGTGAACATTCCATTCAGCTACTGTAAAAACAGTGAACATTACATTCAGGATCTGTAAAAGAACAGTAAACATTACATTCAGGATCTGTAAAAGAACAGTAAACCTTACATTCAGCTATTGTAAGAACAGTGAACATTACATTCAGCTATTGTAAGAACAGTGAACGTTACATTCAGGATCTGTAAAGGAACAGTGAACATTACATTCAGACACTGTAAGAACAGTGAACATTACATTCAGCTATTGTAAGAACAGTGAACATTACATTCAGCTACTGTAAAAGAACAGTGAACATTACATTCAGCTACTGTAAGAAAAGTGAACATTACATTCAGGATCTGTAAAGGAACAGTGAACACAGAATCGTCACTTCATTGCTTTGTACGAATCAACGACCTGATGTGTGAATCAGTATAGAGAGAAAGATAGTAGATTATTTCCCCAAGGGATTGTGCGCTAGTTGAAAGAAAGAATTACTTGGTTTGAAAGTTGCTGGAAGGATAATTTTCTTCCACCAATGTAAAACGATCTTGTGATTACACGGACGAATAAAAAGAAACTCTCGTCTAAGAGTGATCGTGTTCTAGTGCAGTTTTACCTGTTGGATGTTTTTGTTATACATAATCAAAACTCTGGTTTCTCTGAGAAATGCTTATTGAGATATTCCGTTAAGACTGTCCTTTAGATAGAGGAATCACTTCTTTTACTTGCAGTGGAATATTCACACATTTCAAACTAATTCTCCACATATATGTTTTTTTTTTGTAATTAATCTTTGTAAAGTTATTCTCATTTTCATGTGTATATGAGCTTTTAATAAGTTGTTTTTTCTGAAGACTGGGTTTCAATATTCGAACGACTTTTTAAATGTTAAATAACTAGAAGCTTTGGAGGAAGTAGTCAATACCAAAAAAAAACCACTTCATGTTGTCACGTTTGTCCATATGTGCCTACGAAACACTATTAGTCCTATACTTTAAATACGTTTAATAAAAGAAAACCAATTGATGGTGTCACGTCTGTCCATATGTGCCTACGAAAC